ATTTTTTGGTTTTTTTAATACAAAAATACAATTTGTTTGGTTTTAATACAAAAATACCATCTTGTCCCTGCATTTAACAGAAAAAGTTAACAAACTTGACAGTAGTACCATTTATCCTAACTTGTCCGAATCGATTTTAAAACAAAACAAAAAAAACTTTATTTTATCAACTGTAAATGCCCGATTTTGTTTTTTTATTCCTTTTGATTTGACGGAGGAGACTTAAATATTCGAAGGCCCCTCCTTAATTAATAAAGCTTACTTTACGAACGAACAAAGAGCAAGAAGTTGCAAAAATTCCGAGAATAAATATTTATTTCGTTAAAGCTTACTTTATTAAAGCCACTTTGTCCTACTATTATTCCCCATGAAAAACTGCCTCGCCCATTGACAGTCACAAATTAACACCACAAATCCCCTTTTTTTTTCATTGATAAATAAGAACAAGAAAAGTGGCCCTAGATTAAAAGTTGTAAACCAAAAAGAATATATCATTGCACGCAATATCAATGGTTTTTTTTTTGTTGACAAAGATTCTAAATTACTCTAATATACAGAAGAGGGAGATCGAAATTGGTGCAAAGAGGCGGCCATGAACTTTTCTTTGGGTATTTTTGTCATTTTCTCATCCTCCCCACTGTATCCCTCTACTTCTCTCTAGAAACAATTTTTCCTTAAGAAAGACAGTGATCAAATACATTAATACTAACAACTTTCTTAAAGAAAAGAAAGGAAAAAGCAAGAAATAACCATCTTAATGAACCATAGAACAAATCTGAAACAATATTCTTGTCGAATGAAACTAAAAAAGAAAACTACATAAAGAAGACGACGACAAAGATATGATGAAAAAGCTACAAATGCAGAAAATACAATACAATTCTTTAAATAGAAAACAATTAAAACCATAGATCTAACACAAACCAAACTGACTCTAACTTCTCTCACACAATCCAAATAGGATGCATGTTGAATGCGAGGTCTGACTCTCTTCCGATATTTCGAGACAGGTTTCTACAGAAGAATTTTGTGTTTCATCTATCCCCTTGATTAATTTAGTTGAAGTTGATGCCCTTGAGGTCACGTCTGTGGAAGTAGAAGAATCAGCTTTGGTACATTCTGCTAAAATATGAAACCTAATATGAGAATATTTGTTTGTGGGAATTTTCTGTGTATTCTTCTCCTTGTAGGAGGTCATATTTATAATACAACGAAATCTGAATGGGCAAGTAAATAATAAATTCCTAAATCTATTTACAATAGGAAATTAGGAATTAAAGTAAATCAATTACAATTATAATAGGAATTCTTGGTGTGTAAGGAAAGTAAGTCAATAGTCCACAAGTCATGCCAACACTCCCCCTCACGTTG